CTGAGGCTGATGGGAATTAGGAATGGGGCTCAAAGGTATTTTATTGAATCAGAATCCCTTTGAATCCCTATAGTAAGTAGTTTGTCTGGTGGGGAATGGAGACGTCTTTTAGTTAATAAATGTGATTATTATGATAAATTATGATAATTAACTATCAAACCTAAACCATGGACATTCTACTGTGCTGGCGGGTTGTAGGGATTTCACCACATATTCTGTCACTGCTCTGTGACATTAATTTCCTCACTCACTTTTCCTTTTGCTGCGAGGGGAAAACAGCGTTTGCTCCTCAGTGGGGGCTGTGCTGCAGCTGCAGAAGCCGTAGACGCTAGAGTAAGAACAAGAGTCAAAATAATATTCATTCTACTTCATCATTCAGTGAATATCAATGAAATAAAACGTGGGTGATTTGCATGCACAATGGGGACTCGTTGCATTGCTACAGGTCACAGAATCTGAATATGTTGAATACACAACACTCGTTCTCCTTAAGTTCTTACTTTAACACTTTGACTGCAGATAAATGTTTTAACAAAGGACTTGTCGTTTCTCCATTCATTGTGAGTACCGTCCTGCAGATGTTACATTTAGCAGCTGTTTCAGTGACCTGGGAATGTTTAAGCTGGTCCGCCATGTATGTTAACAACAGTGTCAGTGAGTCATCATTCGTCTGTATACGTCACCGTTCTTTGCTGATGACTGTAGTGCCAGGGAGAGACTACAGAGACTTAATGTAGAGCATTAAAGGAATATTTCCATAAGGAATTCATGGCCGTGGAGCTTAAAGAATCAGACTAATTTAGTAACTTGCAACCGGATCCAAAATGGAAGTGACTATTTGGCCCCATTCCTAACAGGAAGGTCCTTAGTTTTGTGAGTATTTAGTCATAAACTAAAGATTTAGACAAATTAAACATTTGACTTGATGATTGTGCTAGATGAAATGTGAGGCAATCACCAAATTCATTAAGATTAATTGTCTGCAAACAATGAATATACAAACTTTTGTGTCAATCCATCAAGTAGATGACCAGTGGTCATTGTGCACTTTCTGCTTCATAGTGACATTAATCCTCTTTAGCTTTCTAGATCATGGGGTCATAGAAAGGGGGTCCATTGTCATAACTGTATGTACTCTCAGTTTAATGGCTACCCATTCCCAGGATTACAGATGATTACAATGACAATGGCATGGCCTTTATCTCCCTATCAACATGATGTTCTTCATGAGTATCGCTCTATGTCTCCTGACTGCCCATCTGTGCCTTCACTTATTAATTCCTTCTCCTCTGCTAGAGAGATTAAGATTTCCTGAGGGAGGCAAACAAGAGACTTTCCACAAAGCCAAAATACAACAATCTCTATTCCTTACATGGTTTCCCCTGCCGTGCTGTGGCTTCCTGGAGGACGACTGCAGCTACTCAAAGCGACGGATAAGTCTCAAATTTCCAAAGGCACTGTAAACTGTTTTGTCATAAACAGAGGCAGACTGTCATCGATATATAAAAAGTTGTGTTATTTTGTTTGGGATGCCCACACAAGAATTAAAAATACGCACACATATGAGGAAGTGATATGTCTCAGCATTATAAATATCAAACACCATACCGTCATTAAGTGATTCAAAGTGACATATCACTTAATCTATTTAGAGTTCAGAGGACAATGCAATAAACATTAAAACCCTTTTCTCACAAGTCAGACATTTTTCCTGCTCTTAAAATTACTATCTTAAATTATTGAACTACCAATTACATTATTAAAGTATGAATTTTTTATAATTACGTATCACAGACTATTAAATGTATAAAATATTAAATTGCGCTATGTGCAGTCCACATATACTAGGCTAATATTTCCTTATATGCACAATGCTCACACTACTTTATTACAGAAAAAATAATTCTTGTTAATAACCTAACGTCATTTTCCAGTAACTCCCACTCAAAAGAACGGATGAACAAAACATTGTGTGGGCATTGTGTGATGTTTAATCACTCAATGCGTGAGGACATTTGAGGTCCATTAAGCATCATATGACTGCAGAGTAATTAGTCTCGGCTCATAACTGCGCAATCAAATATAAAGAAGACAGGATTTGGCTTATTATCTAATCTGTGAAGCTGTGGCTCAAATAGCAAATCTGTGTGTCAAGTGACTAGAAATGACAACCAATGAAAGAGAAGGAAATATTATTTATCATGCAAGAGGTGTTAGTGGAACCAAAACTAAACCAACCAAAACCAAAACTGGAAATAGGGCAACATTTACACTCTCACAAAATTCAGGACAGCATTATGAAAGTTAAATTCGTAATTTCAGTTTGTCATCGACCAACAACTAACACCAAACTCAAGCCTGCAGTATCCCCTTAAATCACCAGCAGAGTATCCTTTGCAGCCCTCAGCTTTCCAAAATCCATTGCGGATGGTGCGCTCACATGGTCCATATCAAGTTACAGAATTTGGAAACTACCATACCGCATTTTATTTACCTGGAATGTGTTTCCATTGTCAGTCACTTGAAAATACACCACATGAATTGGACCAATAAAAAAAGGTCACCTCAAGGTGTGAATAATGAACGTTGGGTGGTAACACCTCTGTTTGTTCTTTTATTATCAGCCTGGATATGTTGTTAATCATTACATGGTTGTGATAATTACTTAGACACAATATGAAGTTATATCCTCTATCATTAACTTGGACTATTCTTTGCAAATTTTTAATTATGTCTTGAACATAAACTGTAAACTCTGAAAACGTGCTTTAGTTTATCTATTGCATTTATCACTTAACCAGCTGTGAGGGAGTAACTTCCTGGATGTTAACTTTTGAATTTCTTTATTAATTAATAAAGGGCCAACTGAATGCACCATTAGTTTTTGTCTCTGTGAGGATAAGAAAGGCAATTCACAGTGACTCATTTGGAAAATCTTCCTCTATCTGTCCTCTGAGGGTGAAATTTTTATAAGCTGCGTAATGATGGTGCAGCAACTGCAGGGCTGCAACTAACTGTCAATTAATTTCTCAACAACTTTTGGTCTGTAACGGGTCTGGAAGTAGAAAACTTTAATGACAAATTTCTAAAGCCCAAAACAATGTTTTAAAATGTCTTGATTTTTTTGTTTTCCTGTTCATTTTCTCCAAAACAGAAAAATATTAAATTTATAATGACATTAAAGAAAAACAGCCACTACAAAGGCTAGAGCCAGAGTATGTGTGCATTTTTTTTAACTTGAGAAACAGCTGATTGTCAAAATAGCTGCTAATATTTAGCTGTTGATTAATCATTTCAGCTCTCTTGCTGTCTCTCTCGCTGATAGGGTAAATTTCACAGGACTACAATAGGATGATTGATTATGGATAAGATCAGGCAACCCTACTTGACCTCCTCACAAATATCTATCTTACGCAAGACTATACGTTAATATCAAACAACATAAATACAGTATTACAGGGTGCAACTAACAATTATTTTCATTATTGATCAATGAATAGATTACCTTCTTGATTGATTGTTTGGTCTATAAAATGTCAGAAAATAGTGAAAAATAGCCAGCAAAAGTCCCAAAGCCCCCAAATATTCAGCTCACTATCAGAGAAGAATAAGCTCAAAAATTACTTAAACAATTAACCATCTGCCATAACAGTTCATGGTGTATTTTCTGTTTTCACTTACTGCTTCAGCCCTAGAACAGGGATCAAGTTCATGGAGCTCATTATCAAATCTACCACATCAAGCAGTGCCAGGAAGTGCTCATATCTCTTATTTCAGTGAAAGTAGCAATGCCAAAAGTAAAAGTCCTGAATTTCTAAATGTCACTTAAAACTGTAAAATCATAATTTTTAAATCAACTAGCACAATTACCTTTCAGATAAATGTAGTGGAGTAAAAAGTACAAATTTCCGTTTCTTTTAAAGTGCAGTTTTTATGGCCTTGACTAATGACGTAAGATAAGAAGTAGCTGTAATACAGACCTAGCAGCCTATTACAACACTTGCCTTCCTCATACCTGTCATACTGAACGAACCTTGTCCTAGACATTGTGTTACCATGGTACCTTTAACAGAGGGTGTGTCTGTAAGGTGTACCATCTAAGTGTACCTGCTACACTAAAACTACTGTGTCTGTACCTTCAAGGAACCTGAATCGTCCCTTTGCTCACACAGTAAGAGAGAAGAAACAAACATTTCTACCTCTAAATCATGAGTTTAGGGACAATTAGTGTGCAACTACTCCAGACAAGCAAGACAGGCAATGCATCCTATCATTGTACTGGGAATGATGGTGAATATACATGGTGCAGTTACCACGAAGAGCCACTAGAAACATTGACAAGCTCTGCATGTGGCACCAGCAGCCAATCTATGGTGTTATGGCCAATGTGGTTCATTGTGTGAGCAATTGCGCTTTTAACAGAAGCGCTGACATACGACATTCACTCTAGTAAATAAAAAATAGTAAATGTGAGTGGTTTTTTTTTGTTGTTTTTTTTAAATAAGTAAATTACTAACAGAAATGTGGAAAATGACTCAGACAAAACAGATGTCTTAGAAATCAGAGATGTCTAAAGACCTGCTTGTGGATTGCTATAGTAGCCTGCGCTTACAGGCCTTTAAAAAGTGATCCTGTAGAAATATTGCAAAATGGGAGAGTGAATACATTTAAACTAACAGTTTTAGTTGTTAGAATGGAAAACTGAGCCATGCAGAGTGCGCTATTTAATCGTTAACAAGCGCAAATGCGAGGTAAACCGAGGTTCCAGCACAATGTCTAGTTAACAAACCACATCTGAGTGGACAAAGACCCAGCGTCAAATGTAGAGAAAAGTGACACGAGTGAGCTACCGTTTCTGTCACAACTTTTACGGCTGTTTGTGATTACATTTTTGCGAGACAATACAATTGAAAAAAAGACACTTAAACAGCGCTTGACTAGGCAAAGTAGCCCGTCCAACTGCACCAACTTACACAGTTCATTTTCGGTTACAGGCTTACCTTAATGTTCACTCCAGTGAGAATGGGCAAACGGCGACACAGTCAGCACGCCAAAATGAAAACCTATGTAGCAAACAGTAAGTAACTAAGCCGGCGTAAAAGCTACAAAAACAACGTTTAAATCCACATATCCTTGTGTTTCCTTTTTTTTCTTTTAAATCATGGACTGACCATGTACTGCTCGACCTATCCTCGCTTGTTTTTCTGTCGCAGGCTGACTGCCTCCACCTCAATCACTCCTATCAAGCCAGTCAGTTGGAATAAGAACTTCCGCTCTCAACTACCAAAATAAAACAACCCGTTTATGTGTAATAAAATTTCAGTTGTGGTGTTGACTGCACAGGTTCACATACTGAATAACAGCTCGACTTAGTAGTAATAAAAACTCGGTGTTTCGCTGCAAAAACATCTACAGACCCTCCACTATACAATGCAGTTCCATTAGTTCACGAGCCACCCAGAAACCAGGTTCCTGAACCACCAGTTCAGGAGCAGAAGTGATTGGTTGAGACTGGCACAAAATTAAGTGGCAACAATTCATTAATCATTTATTGGTCATTTTCAAGCAAAAAAGCCAAAACCTTGTACCAGGTTCTCTAATGAATATTAGCGAGTTACTTAGGTTTTTGACTATCAATCAGAGAGCTAAAGGAATCCGAATAATATGATAATATAATAATTAATAATTAATTTTCCCACTATTTTCGGACATTTTGTAGACTGAACACTGTATGCAGAAATTCAGCAAGTAAAACTACAGTGAATAAAACGGAATAAAATACGTAATTGTCTATGCAATAAAATCAGATTAAAAAGTAGAATGAAATAAACAAACAAAACACATAAAACAGTGTAACTGAAAAATATATTATTTTATTGGATTATTATTACAAATGCATTCAAGTTAAGCAATAGGCTACTTTAGTGTTGTATCTGGTTGAGGTCAAACTGGTTTAAGTATTCTACATATATGTCATATTTTATTGGTAAAGTATACTTTTTGGTTAATACACAGGCCTACAAATTTGGTGCGTAAGTTATAACAGATCAAATGAAAAACAAGCACAGATCATCAAATCTTAATTATCATAGCTACATTTTACACATATTGATGTCAAATTCATGAGCCAAACAGTTTTCCATAAATTAAATATCTATTAAATTCTATACAAATTAGAAATCTGTGAATAACATATTTAGCTGTGTTACATTTGATGTCTTTATATACTGTAATTATATTTTTCATAACAATATTTTATTATCTAACATTTGTACTCCCCACTGGCATTTTATTCAGGTTCGGGATTATATATCGTTACATTCAACAATGAGCGACTCAAGGGAAGAGACACTTCCATTTTGGAGGAACATCACTTGATTTCCGGTGTGATCATGCTTTCTTTGGCTGGCTTGATCGCCGGCCCGGTTGGTGATGTCACCAACGCCGGGACTAGTACAGGACAACGCCAAAGGAAAAAAGGGACAAACTCTAGGGGACAATATCGCCCCTTGCTGATGACAATGGGAAACGTGCTTTATATTCTTTTTGTCGACGTTCATCTGGTTCTGACATTTTCATAGTAGGCCTACAGGTGATTATCTTGAGAAGTCTTGTGACTCAGCCCCCCCCCCCCAAGCCTCTCTGTGAGTCAACACAATCTCTCCATTCATGAATTCAATAAATGGAAGTAATATACAGTGATTAATAAAGTAATATAAAGCTCATTCATCTACAGACACTTTCTATTTTCCTCAGTTGTGGATGTCTTGAATGAACTTGAAAGTCTGCCATTTACGCCAAATGGCAGAAATGTTGAAATTCTACAAAACAACTTTAAAAAGACTTTTCTTTCTTCCTTTATTTTTTTAATGTGACAAATTATAATGTATTATATTCAATTTATGTTAGAAAATTGTTTGTTCTCAACTGCTGTTTCCTGGATCAAAAATGAGATTAAAAACTAAGACAGATACTATGTTATTTCCAAAATGTTGCAACATGTGACATAATGTATGATCAAAGCAGTATTAAACAACAGTCTGATTTCAACTGTACTCCACTTCAATAACTGCTACATATTCACATTACACATGATCAACTTTTTTTTGTTTCAACACAGGAAAATTAAACTGTCTCAGCCAAAAGAGGAAGCACAGCAATAGATGCTTGTAAAGATACAGGAAGTAGCCTAATAAAACCAGAGTTGCCAACTATGGATATTATGAGCTTCCACTATAAGGAGGCTTTCACAGGAAGGTTGAGACACATCAAATAAATACAAAAATTGCACTAGAGAAATGGGTTTTGTCCTGTTGTTGAAGTGAGCTCTAAAAAATTAAATTTAATGGACGGTAGAATGGAAAAGGGTGTTACACTTGTAGCCTACACTCACATCAGATCAAAAACTTCACATGGCATAGGTTTTAATGCTGTTAAATAAGCAGAACTTATATTTAGTGTGGGCGTGGTGCACTTTGTTCCCTCGTCATTCTCATATTTGTAACTGACATACATTGTAGAATGACTTTGACGTTGAGAGGAGGCGAGCTCCTAAAAAGATGCATGTTGGATGAGTAACCCATGAGCTTGTAGCTATAGTGACAGTAGTTACATTATAATAGGTTATAGTTTAGAACTTGGTAAAAGTGAGTCAATCCTATTTTGGTTGACACCTTCTGATAGAATCAAGGTTTATCAAACAGGAAATTGCACTGAATCATAAAGTAATGTTGGTCTGACTCAGAAAGACAGTCCCTGGCAAAGTATTATCCAAATGTGCTAAAAGAAAAACTAATTTCATGGTTTTAAGTTTGTGATAAATGAGAGAATGTGAGAAATGGCCAGAATTTAGACAATGTAGTTTGTGTATATGTGATAGATGTATGTGTATTAATAGCCTTTGTCTTTTGTCTTTTTTTTTTGGTCAGTTTAAATCAAAGTCTGTTTAAATTGACATTAAAGTTGAAAAAAGTGAAAATTTGGGTTATTTGTGGCTCATTCTCTGCTGTGAACATAAAATAAAAACTAAGGATAAACTGAAAATCAGAGGGTTACGTCATATCCTTGTCACATAAATACACTGCCAGTCTATGACAACCTCCTCACCTACACACATCTAAAATTAGTCTAAATCCACAATATTCATCTAATTTTTACCACTGTCTCACACAGTACTCATCCGTTATCAGTTCAACCCAGACAGATACACTGATACTTGTTCCCTGCTCCACAGCACCTCCACATGTCTGTTTTTTACTCCTACACTGGGAACGGGAGTAATGAAATGTACCCCTGTAAAAAAGTTTTTGGATACTCATTTTTGACTCTTGGATATGAAACTGAAACTGAGAGCGGTTTGAGGGCAAAACAGTATTTTTATTTCTGAGGTAAAATGTGAAGAGTTTCTTCGGCACTGACGAAGTGTTGAACTTCCTATCACAAGGGGGCAGAGCATCCCTGGCAGAAAAGTTCAACACCGTCTCTGTCACCAAGCGTGCACGTCACACAACCTTTACCAGCTGATTGTACTATAGTGTCAGGATGTTAAAATAACCAACTGAATTTTCACCCACCTCCCCTCTCTCACTCAACACAGACAATGACTCACATACCCTAACAAATCAATTTAATTAGAAAGCAATTAGATGAATAAGTAAAAGCACATGCTTTGGCCTATTTTTTGAAGATCAACATTTTACAATATGTTTGTCTGACTCAAGGATAATTGGAAAGAGCTGAGGTGCATGTTTATATCAGATGTACAGTTGGTATTATTAGATTTTATTGTTGAATCTCAACAGTGTAGAAATATGGTGGTTCACAGCAGTGAATGGGATTCAAAGCTGCTGTAAAAGTGAGAAATTGTTAGAATGTCCATCCTCTCTTCAGCCACAGGACAGCTTGACTTATTAATCGAGGCTGAGTAACACTTGTCAACACTCTATCTGCCACTGCTATAACCAGGATGTCTTTCTCTTTAGATCCATGCCCCTCATATTCTCACCAGCCGCACCAAATCTTCCCACTGAGTGACTACTGAGAGCTGAGAGGAGCTATAGTTACAACGCTGATGAAACTGCATGTTTACTTTGACAGAAAGGCGCCCGTCTTCAAGTCCACCTGACTGGAAGTGATGATGTATGTGATGAAGCAGTGGCTCCCGTGCTATGTTTGCTATGCGGTGGCCTGCAGGCCCAGTGAAATGTGAATCACAATAAACGTTGATTATTATGTGCCGTATGCAGGGATTTAGAAATACCAAAGACTAAAAACGGAGCCTTCTGTGGGCGGAGGTTTGAGACCAAATATATTTCCTGATCTACATTTGTGCATTTTAAGGTATTTGGAGAGCAAAAATTGGATAACATAGCTTCAAAATCATGTCAGTGGAAATCATAGAAATGTGTCTTAAATATAACATAAACATGAGCAAAATGTGCTTTATACAATATACATTTATATAATAAAACTATATATAATTATACCAGGTTTATGTTATTCTTAAATTGAGCCGATAGCTTCCACTGTAATTGCCAAAGAACATATATCTCTGTGGTAATAAGGCCATTGTCTGAATGGGATCAGATCAGTTCCTTTTTGTTTGTGGTGATCAGCAGAGGGACATAACGCTAATCCTACTAAAAACTCAGTTTTCAAAAACAAGAAAAAAAACCTATCTGCTGACAGGACAGGAAAATTTCACTTGCCAAGATTTTATAAAATAAGTGATAACAAGTTTGAAATGAAATGAAATGAAAAGTGAAATGCTCTAACATTAGAAGAAATATCTCAAGCGTACTGCATCCAACTGAGAAAAATGTTGGCCCTATTTCTCTGAATCAAGGAGAATATTATCTATACTAATTCTGAGGGAGGTTTTCATGGAAAAAGAATCCTGCTCTATTTTTCTGAATTTAATCTCAATTCAGAGAAAAGGAGGAGAATTTTCTTTCCATGAAAACGTATCAAATGTATCATATTATAAACTAAAATGTGGAGGGTATAAAAAGGACAGGATACCTATGAATATGGTTTGAATTACACCAGATTCATAGATACATTCTGCCTTTATTGTTGCATGTCATTAAAATGACTGTACACACTGAAATAAAGTAACTCTTATTTAATACTATAACTTTTAATGGAAATGTAGATTTGATAGAAGTATGATATACTTACATAGTTATGTTCAAACCCCCA